TCCAAGTTTTCTTTTTCCAGCTAAGCATCCATCGGCCAAATTTTGGATATCCAGCAGAGCCGAGAATGAAGCCTGTTAGCTGCCTGTAAGCACTGCTGGTCCCAACTGCGGGAAGGCGTCACTTCTTGGTCCTGTGTGAGCCCTGGCCAGGGCCTGGCTTTGTGCCTGTGATGACGGGAGACCTGTCGCTAAGGTAGCTTCTCCATCTCACTCCCACTAGCTTCATTATTTTTTTCCTTTCCACATTAAGTGTATATTATTTGCTGTGAAACAATCACTTCTACCTGATGAGAAAGTTTGATAAAATCTGAATATTTCTTTTGGTTTTGATGATACAAATTGCCTTTAGAATAAAAACATTTCAGAACAAAGTGCTTTCAGCCCACTCTCGTGCTGTACATACAACACCCTGGTGAGTGCAGCTCCCTCCGTTCCCACAGATAGCGAGGCTGAGGCAGAGGAGCTGGCACAGCCAAAGGTAACACGAAAAAATTATGGCAAAAGTGGGACATTGGCATCAACCTCACAGCTCCCTGGCCTGGGTGTGTCTTGCCATCAGCCTTGCCGTTGGGGTCGCTCCCCCATTCTCACTGTATCCTTGATCCAGGGCTGTATTTCAGCCCTATTTCAGCCCTGGCTAATGCCTGCTGAAATGTGTCTGGCTGCCCTGGGTCAGGTGCCAAGACAAACTGGGCTCTCTGCCCTTTGGAGAGATGCGACTGCTTCTGAGGACAGCATGTGGCGCCCTGTTGGTCTGTGCACCTGCACCTGAAATGTGGAGCGGGGAGTAGAGTGCAGGTAGACAGGGAAGCGCAGTGAGCTGTTCGCTGTGTTTATCACCAAATTGCTACTGATTTCTTCCTCCTATTCCCTTCTGAGAAGCAGCTTAGGAAGGAAAATGTTAACGAATGTGCAACTTTCTTCTGCAAAGGAAAGCTGGACTTTGAAAACTCATTGCGTTTCCTTCTACCTGTGTCTTTGTGAGATTTAAGTGAAACATTATGTCGCTCAGGACTTTCCATAGGACAGGCAAGCTCGCTAGAGGAGCGATTTGCTCTGGGGAGCGGCATGAGTGAAAACACTGAATGTGTAAGAAAGAGCGGTGCTGTTCAGTGCCCAAATTGCCTCCAGAAAAGAGGCAGGGTCAAAGCAAAGCTATTGCAAATCCCTGCTAAATGGCACCGAGATGGTTTATGCTACAGTAATTTCAGCCATTGTCTGACCAACTCCCGCACATACTGAAAAATAAGAGTGCTTCCTGGAGGGCTGAAGGGCCTTTTCCCAGTTTACATTAGTGTTTTTCTATTACTTTTCTGCAGCTCCTTTTGCTGCCTGTCTTTTGTCTGCCTTTTGGATTCTTTTAATTTGTTTTGACCATACGTATATTTTCCATGTAAGAAAACCCAGCAAACTCATTGAGCAGCCTTCTCCAATGCGTCTATGTGCGGATGCGCAGATCCAGGCTCAGTGCATGCCCTGACGTGGGAGGAGAGGAGCAGAGCCCCGCTCTACAGCACGTCCCCGCTGCAGCCAAACCCAGTGCAGGAGGAGGGAGCAGACCTCACTAGCTCAGATGTGCTGCAGAACCCTGGTTGCTGCAGGAAGGCCTGGTAGAGATGGACGTTGTGCTGCTTGGCTGTGCCGACACCAAGCCTGGGTGCCTTCAGCCTCAGGTCTATAAGGTTTAGAAAGGAAAATAACTCCTAAGCTCACCCATCCCATAACAGCCTCCCTTCTCCTGGAGATGGTCCTGCAAGCTTGAATCTCTTTGACCCTGCGGGACAAAATTATGTGTCAAAATTATATGCAAAACCTGCTCTGGCCATTTGAATGGTGTTGTTTTTCTTCCTCTTTCCTCTTTACTGTTTTTTTTAAATGCCCTTTCAGACAGAGCACTTAGTTGCAAGGTTTTGAAGGATGCTTTTGTTCTGCATAGGGTAGTGTGACTTCTCAGTGAAAAGCAAAAAAATCTGTCAGATCTCTATAGGCGTCCATGTTTAGAAAGGACAATGGTATTTTCTTGAAAAAATGCAGCATTGTTCTTTAGAACTGGTGTGATATCTTTGAGAATAAATGTGCAGTAGTTGCTTTGACTGCCGCTCTGGCCATTAATTACTTGACATCTGTCTTAGTTCCTAAAATTATTTCGAAAATGTGGAGACTTTGTGGGGTCCACATTGCTAAGCGTGGGCATGAACAATTCCTCACCTAGGTTTGCTTGGAAAGGCTGTTTTAATAAGAGTTTTTTTTATGTGAAAATATTCTTTTTTTTATTTGCCATTTAGCTAGTACCTATTACAAAAACAAGCCTTCCCATCTTTTCAGCTTTTTAGAATATGATTCTCATCCATGGTGAAGAGATTTGCTCCCCAGTAAATAAGAGGTGAAAATTTAAAGAGAAAAATATTCTGGAACCAAATCAAAACCATTTCCAATTTGAAATAAAATGAATATTTCAAATTTTCTTTAAAAAAAAGTATCAAAGAGAGCAATGAATTATTTTCCCCAATGTTTCTATTATTAAAACATGAATTTATGGAGGCGTTAGGGACACCTCAGAGTGTGCTCATCTCAGGAGATGTTCTTGGAGCACTGAGAATGTATCTGAGCTATCCAATCTTGTTCTGGCAGCCCTGATTATCTGTGTTTCTAGTTGTGGTATGGTTTCTGATCTGGCATCTGCTCACTAGTTTGTTCCTGGTTCCCCTTAGTATTTGCTTTGTATTTTACTTTCCTGTACCCTGGATGTGAGCTCTGTGACCTTTTTGGTGAACGCAGCCATTGTAGATTGGGGTTTGCACTTGCTCACCTTTGGCTCCTCTGGTTGCAGCTGGAAGTGCTGATGTTTCAGAGCAGTGATGTGAAATTGTGTAAGATCAGGCACTGCTGCAGTTTCATCACATAAAGGCAAAATGGCATCGTGCTTTTTGGTGTCACAAAACAAAGCAGCAGTTGCAGGAAGAAGCTGAGAATTTTTGCCTTCCTGGCAAGGCCGGGGTAGGTCATAATCCTATGGCACCACGTTCTTAGTGTTACAACATCCCCCCACCCACTTCTCTGCACAGGAACAGGTACTTTTTGTGGTCTGAGAGCTCTCCCTTTCTTAATCAAGGGAGGAGAAGCCTCTTCCTTCATTTCAGATGGTAAATAGTGGCATGGGCAGGACATGTAGGAGATGGAGATCGTTCCCCTTGGTCAGCCTATGGTTCTGCGTGTGTCCCTTCCATGGTCCTTTACATTTTGTTATATTTTGTAAAGTGTCAGAGCAGCCACAGCCATGGTCAAATGATTCCTGTTCCCGTAATGGAGAAATTGCTGTAATCTGACAGGCTCTGTGTCCATCTGTCTCCATTGATAAGATCTTCCTGGAAGAGCCTAGAATGAGCCAGAAGTAAATCAAGCTATGCAGCACTTCTAATGTTATTGTTGGATAGAATAAGAAACAAGAGTTTTCAAACTAGTGGGCAGAGCGTGGAAATGTTGGATACCTCGCACAGCACCTGGACCAAAGCAGCAGTGAGCCACCTCTGTTGAGACTGCTGCAAGCAGCCTGTTCTTATGAGCATAGTTAATGGATGTAAATATTAGCTCACTGCAGACTTCACGTATCACTGTGTAAAGCGTAATAGTTTATTTTGGCCTCAGGCCACATAAATGGCCTAGCTCTAAACGAGAGGAACTCATCCAAAGGCAGTACTTGTTCCTGCTTGCTTGAGGGCTGAATTCAGTCTGATCTGTGCAAATGTAGGAGGGAATTAGTGAAAAATAAGGGTGAGTTGGGGCACACTATCCATTCATCTAATGACCAGACCATTGGGAATACTTATTATGAAAATAACGGCCCCCAATCCTGCTTACACTTCTTCCCTTTCAGCAGTCAAATTCCCCAGAGTTCCTAAATTCCCAACGAAAGATGCAGTGTGTTGGTTCTGTCTGTTCAGCCTTACAACAGAAAGATGTTTTATCTTTCTTGAGCATTTCCAGAGGGTAGGAATACTTGATTTTGTTTCCTCTCCATGGAGTCTTCCTGTGTTACACTGGGAATTGGTTGTAGATTGCAGTAAAGTGCCATTTGATTAGCAGCTGGCATTCTAGTCTGGATTAAAGAAGCATGGGAAGACCCGACCTCTTAGCTGAATCCCATCTGAAAATAAAGAATTCAATGACGGATTTTCAGTAATACACATTCCCATTAAAATCTGAAATCTGTGTGGTCTCCGGGGTTCTCTGCTTATGCTCGATGACTTTTGTGTAGTGTATATATATTAAGCATACTTATAAGGGACATGTTTTAGGGAACTCTGTGACTTATCTCTCCACTGCTTTAGCACATCCGGATGCAGCAGGTTCCCCTGTCATTTCATGACAGTATCGCTGTCCTCTTTACCACATCTGCCCAGCAGAGTTGAGAGGCTCTGATGAAATTTAGCCTTTTAACCATCTTTCCTCCTCTTGTGATCTGACAGCACCCACAACTATCTAGTATAACTTTCATGAGATTAACGAGGGCATCTAGTAGTATGTCAGCTTTTGTGACTATCAGTTTATAAGTTGTACCCTGGAAAATCTTTTTTTAAAAAAAAAAAAAAAAGTGTAGGGGCGGGGGGCAAAACTTATTCTGGTGAGTAAGCAGCTCTGAGGTCAGGATGCCAAATACCAGAGCATGTGGCAAGAGAAACTGGTGGCCTACATTTGCTTCAAACCATAGATAGGAACTTGTACTCTGCAGTAGGACCTGGGGATCGGTGTGAAAATCTGGGATGGTTTTCTGCCCACCTCTAGGTGCTGCTTTGGAAGCATAAGCCCTCATTCAGGTCATTTCTGAAAAACACTTTTCTTAATGAAAAATCTTCATTAGGAATCGTAATGAAATAAAAATTAAAGGATCTATGGGAGGTCAGAAGAATAAACACATACGCTCAGAGTTAAGGAATTTCTCTGCAGTGACGAAATATTTTAAAATAACCAGAACCGTCTTGTGTGCTTTTTTCTGTCAACAGGATGAAGATGATCGGTGCCCTGCTAGTTACTCTCTGGCTGTGTGTGCTCCCCCTCAGCAGCAGCTCCGGTAAGGATGTGACATGCCTGCTTATCATGGGAAGAGCTGCTCTAAAGCCAGAAAATTAGCTGAAGTAATTTTAAGCATTTACAGTAATCCTGGATGAAACAGTCATGTGTAAAATGCTTCTGGAAAATGCATGAAAACTTTTTTTTTAATGTACTGTATAATGCTCACATGTAATGGCTATGAGTATGGTACAAATGGTTCTACAAGGAAATAATTGGGAGTAAGCAGCAGCTAAAAGCACTTTGGAAATTCAGGTTCCATGTTTGACTAATAGTGATATCCTCTGTCCGCAAGGGGTGAAACTCGGGCTCTGCACGGGCAGCAACTCGTCAGCGAGTTACAAGCAGGACCTGGACTTGAACCTGAGATCTGCCTTTCGTGTCTGGATCCGGAGGGGGATGAAATTCCGGCTCTCGAGTTCTGACTCATGCCTCAGTAACGCGCGGGGAGAAGGGAACTTGTTGAATAAGCCGAGCTCTCATAGCCGCCTCACTGAGTCACTTTCCTGACAGGAAATATGTTGTCATGCTCGCGGCTCCCCTGGCACGCGTTCAGCCGGGCGCTGGTGAAGAGGCAGATTGTGTGCGTCTCGGCGCTGGACTTCCTCTTCGGGGGTGGAAGGGAGATGGCACGAGGGGAACGAGGGAGGGAGGAGAGAACAGGCAGCAGCATTATGAGGAATAAGCACTGCAGGTTGAAAAGGGGCTTGAGCCGGTGCCCCTGCGAGCACTTGCCCCTCTGCAGCATGGGCAGAGTGGTTGCAAAGCCCGGTATGGATGAGTGGCTCTTGCATCGCTGCATCTCGCACCAGGTTGTGCTGCCAGAGCCAGATTTGTGGCATCCACCTCAGCAAGGGTCATCTCAAACAGAGGTTGAAGTCTGAGATGCTTTTTATTTTCCCCTAGGTTGCCATAGTGCTACTGGCATACTTGGTGTAGTCATTAATATGGTATAGCAAATCCTGGCTAATTGTGGAGCTGTTGAGCAATGGAGAAACATCAAAGTTGAAAGAATATAGGGCTCAGGTCTCTGCTGCTGAGTCCCGTGTGATCAGAGCCCCTAGGAAACGGGGGATCCAGTTGTGCAGGTTGCTCTTGCTCTCCTGGCAGCTCCCTGCTCTGCATATGTTTCTGAACATTCCCTTCTACTCTGCATCATGATGCTCTCCAGCAGTGTAATACCCTCCCACTGCTGGGGTGGTGTTTTGACACTCCAAGTGCAATCATCTAAGGGTATTCCAGAAACAGGAAGTAGCTGCAACTGAACCAGGATTGTCCAGGAAATTTGAGAGCAGCTCCAGGGCAAGTCTGTCAGCTGGAAGCTGCAAAATGAGCATCTTGGCTTTTGGGTGACTCCGGCTTGTGCCAGCTGATCTGGCAGAACCCTTCATGCCTTTTGGTGAGGTGTCCAGTGCTTTTTAAATATTCCTCCTTCAGCAGAGGATTTCTGTGCAGACCTGTGGAAGGTTTCAGATTTGTTGTTTCAGCTGAATTTCTCTGTCACAAAGCAGGGCTGTGGAGTCATTCACCTGATGAAATCTGTTGTTTCCTGCATTTGGGTATCCTAGTTACTTTTGTTACCTCGTCCATGCATTGTTATATTGACCAAAGTGTGTATTCTCTCAGGCTCTGGCATTGGGCCTGGCAGTGCGCTTGGGGACGCTGCAGTCCGGGTGTCCTTTGCCTGGGGATGCCCCTTCCTGGGATAGCAGCACATGCAGCAGCACTGATGCAACTGTCCTGAGCCGGGGTTTCCCACTTTACTCAATCCTGAGCCCTCTGTGCTTACAGAAGAATGAAGAGCCAACACTTAGTAAAATTCTAGCTATAAAATCAACACTGCTCCAGCTGTAGTAAAGCCTTTCTGTCCAGCTTAGCGTGTCTGTCTCCCTGGCAGCATGTCAGAGAGCTTCAGGATTGTGTTTCCCCCTGCTCTCCATAGGAGTGACACACCTGCAAACACCCCACTTCCCCCCGGCTCAGCGCCAGGGCATTAAACATCCATCCTTTGGTTCTGCTGCTTTGCCTTGAGGGGAGGCAAAAATCATTTGCTGAAAGGGAGCTGCAAGCTGAAAGATGTGTGATCTGTTTAGTTCAGAGTAATAGAGCCTGAGATTGCACTCGTGCTTAATGTTACTACTAACTCATGCCACATTCTTGGGTCGATCTCTTCTGGTCTTGGAAGTATATCTGATCTGCAGTGCTTTGCTTTGAATTCTTTACCTGTGACCTTTGGGGCATTGTTCGCGATGCTGTTCAGAGTCCTACTGCTTTTCTTGTCTCAGCTAAGCCATCCTTAAGATGAAAATAAGGCTTGTGTTGTAGGATGCTTAATGAACCCAGATGTTTTCATATCTCGACAAGGATGGCAAAGGAGCCATGTACCCAATTTTGGTCTTACAGTGATCTCTTTGACGGCACTAGAGTGATTTAGATATATACTGGCTTTAAAGAGGTGAAAAAACAGTCAGACAAAGAACAGTGGCCAGTGTGAATAAGGAAATATATCATCTATTTGTTTTTCCGCATAGCTGACCTATCTTTGATATTGTCTTGCTTTAAGGATGCGGCTATACTGTGCTCCACATAGCATTTTCTCACTGCTCTCTTATTCTTCAGGGACTTCCAGCTTTTGCAGGGTGATACCTCGGGAGAGAATCACTGTTAGACTTATTGTCTTGGGAATTAGAAAGGACTGGGCAAAGGCAGAAAAATATTGCTGCCAGGAGAGAAGAAATAGCTTTGTGCTGAGTGCTCATTATCTAACGGATCCATTTAATGTTAACAAGTAGCTGCTGTACAGAAATAGTCCTTTGGTTAGGAAGCTCTGTGTTTGCATAGGAAACTCCTGTGTTCCCCTGGGCGTTTTCAGCCAGGCTTTATGGTAGGATGAGCCCAGGATTGGGGCCAGCTTCTGCGCTGATTTAACATTCCCATCCGTGGCAAACAGTTGTAAGGCAGCCTGCAGTCTCTGGAAACTCCTGGGAGTTTTATTTGGAGCTTTGTTATTGATGTGCTGAGTTGTGAGTAGATGTTACACTCTACTCACCAGGGACTGTTAGACAGTGGTTTTATTCCCTCTAAAATGAGTACCAAAACACTAGACATCACCAGTAGTTCTGGATTCAGGCTTGTGCTAGAGTAGCCAACTCTGACCACGGTGAACCAGAAACCAAGATCAAGAAGGTCAGAGCTGTCTCCTGCACAATCTCTGTGAAGTGGCAATTTGGGCTTTAAGTCTCCCTTACACTCGGTAGAAAAGCAGAATAGTTACTTATGGCCAGGGGAAATTTACAGATTAATGAATTACTGTCTCTAAAACACTTTGAAGATAGAATGCCTTGCACAGCTCCTCAGGATTATTGCTACATAGCTCTTACTCTACTGATGGGGTTCCAGTAGCTTTATTTTCCTTGTGATTTGTGACAGCCCCAGAAGCTGAGAAGCTTATTTTAGTGTGTAAAGTCAAAAGAAAAATAGATTAAACTGCATTATTGTTTTCTAAAGAGACTAAATCCCTCCCCCATCTTCTTCCCCTGGGATTTCCTGATTTCCTCCTACTCTTCCAATCTCAGCTTGTTGCTGTCCTAATTTAAGACATGATTTTATAACTACCCATAGCAGTTTGTGAGTTACTGCAATTGTAGAAGTTTATGGTGCTTGGGGGGATAAAGTTATTCACCACTGAAGGAAAAGTGGATAGCCTTGAAGTGGAGATAAAACCTGCGGCGCAGAGCTAGCCTGGGAGCAGACGTGTAACCTGGAGCCATCAACCTCCATTCTAACCAGCCAGAATTTTGCCTTGGGAGGAGAAGAGAGGAGAGGAGAGCTCGCTTTTCCTTCCTGCCAGAGAGGAAATACATAGCAAGGGGTGATTTTGTGCAGATGAGAATGTGATGTGGCCTTCTGAGCTCAAACCTCAGAAATGTGTAGAAGAAAGCAGTCCCTTCTGTGTGCTTCACTGACATGGTATTGGGTGGTTGCTTTTGTGCCCTCTGTGTATCAAATAGGCCATCAGGGAATATCTAATGAGGTTCCTACCCTTTTTAGCCATCACCTCTCCCTAGCTGCAGGCTCACGGTTGTGTAATGAAGTGAGAGACTGAGTGCACACAAGTGGCTTCTGCCAGCCGGCCTGGGCACCTCCATCAATGTCTGACTCTTGGATATGGGTAAGGGGATGGGAGCAGTGCCGGTGGTGCTGGAAGGAGCACGAACCACAGGCGCGTGGCCACCCTTGTCTTTGTGTGGAGGAAGGACCGCGCGTCGGGCGCTGCGTGTCTGAGCAGGGCCCGAGCTGCTCTCCAGCGAGCAGGGCCAGGCTGCAGGAGAGGCTGACAGGGAGGAGAGCACCGTGCTGGGGGGAACGAGGGGTGGGCGCTTTTGCAAGGAGTCAGCACGTTAATGCTGATGCAAGGACTCGCATGTCCTGGCCACACCAAGAGCCCCCATCAGCCTCAGCACAGCTCTACTGCCATGCAACCAGGCTAATCACTTTTCCTTCCGTGCTGCCTCCTCTTAACCCAATGATTTTGCAAAGGGCTGCTCTGTTTCCTCACTCTGCCTCTTCCTCCTGTGTTGCTTTGCATGTCTCTGTGCGGCAGTTTCCTCAATGAAATGGGATAGAAAGTAGCTATTTACCCTTTTTTCCTTCAGGCTTGGAGGCAGTTCATACCCCTTGCTTTATCATTTTGATCTCCACTTTAAAAAGGCCTCCAGGAAAACAGGTGTAGCTTGCCAGAGAAAAATGAACTTTTTTTTTCCCCTCTCCTGTCCAGTTCCTGGAGGTAACCAAAACACAGTACCACAGTGTAAACACAGCTTTAATCTGAGAAAGTGAGTGAAGGCATGCAGATCACTGAAAGAGTTTTGAAAGACACAGATAAACAAACCCTACTCTTTGTGTTACAGGCTAGGCTGGATTGGATAAAGAAGCTTGGAGTTAGGAGCTATGGACTTCATTACAGAATCACAATTTTTAGAAGCCCTGCTTTGCTCTCTT